AGCACAGGGGGCGGGCCGAAGAGCTGGATGAGGAGATGAAGGGTGTGCACACTGCACAAATGAAAGCAGAAGAGGTGATGTTTTTTTTTTTTTAAACAGAGATGATCGATAACATTCATTGTGCTAACCGATCCGTGTGAAACAGAGGTTGGGATTGCCCCATTGCCCTCGACGTGTGCAGCCGGGTATCAGTGCATTTGTAACGATACAAAACGCTAATCTGTGGCCGTGAATTAAGGGTTTATAGGGAGGGTGCGCCCGTTTTTTTTTTAAATCACCTCTTCAAGTATCAAATTACAATTAGAGGTGCAGTGAAAAATAACTAGAAATACATAGAGAAAGGTGGGAGAGGAAAAAAAAGATATCAAAGGAGCTAAACAGACAAAAAGACACAAATCGATTCCTAAAGTAAAAGTCATCTGACTGAGCTGTATTGGTATGGCTGCAGTTTGTAAAGCAGCCCACACAGAAAAGAACAGCAACATTTTAGCTTTAATCTTTAAAGGGAGTTTTCTATTTAGCCTATGTAATATAGGTACATTAAATGTAAAAATGACTTGTTAAATCGAAATGAAATCAATCAAAACACGTATCTGCACGAACGCAGTTGTATGGTAATCAAGAGCTACCCAAATGGAAAATGGTTTTAAGGCTCGTCATACAAACAACAACATACAAACCATCAAATAGAGTCGCGGTAAATGAACGTGGCTCAAACGTGGCCAGTCAAATATGACAAGGAAGGTCGTTTGTCAAATTGGAAGCGGTTGTGTAAGGATGCATCACATTTACTTCCAGTCAAGATTACCCCCGCCCCCCAAAAAAAACCCAACCCTGGACGTGACGAGATTTAAATATAGCGCGCCATCTTCCGGGGCAAAGGCATAACTACAACACCAGCAGTGAAACCATACGCTGGCAAAACTTTTGTACTTGACGTAATGGAAATTAAAATTGTATCCTTGAATCGCAATTGCTTAGTCGCCCCCCAATCTCACCGGGATCATTTTGGTTTTGGTGCGTTTCAGAAAAGCATACAAAACCCCAATTGATTCATCCATTTTAACCGTAAGCAGTTCATTTTCACAGGTATTCAGGCACCTGAAAACAGTTGTTAACATTTAAACAATTAACTAATAGTATTACTCTAATAACAGAGAGGTCACAAATCAAATTTTTGATTTCTGCAGACAGACACACAGCTCCATCTGGACAAGAAAACCTTTGCAATACAGTTTAAAAAAAGGTTTCGGTTCATGATTAACTGGGTCACGTTAGATTGAATGACACACTCAGGGATGAAAAATATAGAATACTTACATTATCTCTGGACTTCCATTCAGCATGGTGCCCTCTTCACTGAGTCAGGTAGCCCAACCCTCCCCTCTTTCCTTTATGGTTAAAAGGATTGAGCAACAGGATTTATTTTCTTTGTGCATAGACTCAAACAACTTCAAAGCATAATTGCAATTATTTGAATTACTACATAGAATTCCCTTGTCTCCATGCTTGGTTTGTGCTCTGACAGGCACGATCAAACTGTGGGCCCAAACAGTATGTTGACAGGTGGATGGATGTACATGCCATTCCGAATCCTGTCCAATCATCTGAATTTACCTGATGGACTGCCAAGAAGCCATCGAAACATCAAGGTTCAGTGGGACAAAATCATGCAGCTATGTTCAGTTTTGAACTACATGGCAAAGGTCGTGAATACTTCAACAAGGTGATTTCTTTGTTTGTATTTCTTTTAATAAAATTGGAGAAAAAAAAAACAGGAAAGCTTGTGTGGAACCTTGAAATAGGGCAAAAAGAAAAATCTTCCATATGCAAATAAGGCTGCAGGCAATATGTGTAAAAATGGATGCGCTCTGAACATTTCAGGTGCCTTGTATGTCACACACGCGCGCGCGCGCGCACACACACACACACACACACACACACACACACACACACACACACACACACACACTTGTATTGGCATCAAAACCCAACCTTCGCCAAAAATGAAGGGGATCACTTTCCCATCACACTCAAAAGGTTTGCCTGGAAAAAAAAAAGATGAGCTTGTTAAATTGATACACTGACTGACCACTTCATTAGGTCCACATCCACAATAGCAGACAAGGTGGTGTTCCTGATGACTTGCCTTCATGAAGGTGGAAAATCTTTTTTCTGTCATCCCCTCGACTTGACTTAGATCCTCCAGCTGCGTGATCACAGTCCGACATTACAGGTGGGAAGCACAACATTAACATTGTCTTGCAGGACGGTACGTACCTTGGAGAAAATGCCGCGGACCTCCCTCCAGCCAAGGATTAGCTTGGCCTTCTTGTCGCCAATCTGCTGCAGACTTTTGAGCTCTTTCAGGGAGCCCGTGTTGAGGATCTGGAGAATCTTCTGCCTGGCCTGCTCCACAACAGACTCGTCCAGGTGGGACTCCCAACCGCTTGGCATGTTCTCTTTGCCGTTTGGAAGCTGAGACAAGATGCAAAAGTGCAACACTCATGTCCACAACTGTCAAGGGAGGGAGAATCCAGAGTCTCCATTTTCCCCCCATAGTATATTCACGATGCAATTTCTAACTCAGAACTAGCCCCGACCCCTTTTGTTTTTAATAAATCTGAAAATTTCACACAACACTGACTCTAAAAATATTGTATTTTCTCTCAAGTAATTTACAAGGCATGTTTTATCTATCAACATAGTTCTATGAAACTGTCAAGCAGGCAACATTTTATACAAGTGTTCCCAATGTTGTGGTCAGTGAGTGCTAGTTGGGAGGTTTTGTCCTCGCTTCATCTGACTGGTTTCTACAGAAAGTTGTAAAAGAGGAAAAAAAAACTGGAGAGACAAGACATCGAAATAGAAAAAACAGAAAGAGATGGATGGCCACATGCACGGAGTCTGTCTTTGTCTGTGGCCTATGCACACACAGTGAATAGTGGGACGCTGACCTCAGCCTTATCCGGAAGCGTGGTGGCCACTTTCTTCTTGACACAGACCGACTGCTTCCTGACGGTAAGCGCCTTGGCAGGCTGCGGCTGGGACACTGCAAAAGGGCGAAGCGCAAATTAGGGTCACATCCCAACCACACCGCCATGAATAATCCAAACAGAGTCTATTTTAGCAGCAACACCGTCTTGCTCACAAAGGCAGCTTACACCAAGAAAGGGTCATTCAAGTCGGTAACAATGTTCATCAGCATTTCCACAAACTGTGTCCAATATGAGCCTTAAGGAGCGATGCAGAGATTGGTCACACTTGTCCCCCCCCCCACCAAATAAATTTAAAAAGAATAAAATTTAAAAAACTGGAGCATCAAAAGGCTTGAATATTTTTTCCAAAGGTATTAGAGCGACAACAGAACCAACCGAAACAACAGATGGACATCAACTGCAATTTGAATTAAAAAAAAAAAACCTCGTTCCATCATAAATGCTTACAGTGATCCTGCAGCGGTTGGACCATGGCTTGCCGCGTGTTGCTTTTTGTGACGTTGGCCTGTTTTTGCTGCAGTGGCGCCGTGCTGCTCCTGAAACTTGGCTCCTGACTGAAACCCGACTTCTCCTTCACCAGCTGACTGAGGAGCAAGGCCTTTCTCTCAAAGTCCCTGTGCTCCTGTTTGAGCGCCTGCATAGTACAAGTAGAATGGTCAATATTGTGGCAGGACACTGCCAACGGGTGCCAAGTCAAGAGGAACTACTTCGCTATTGTACAAAAAAAAAAGATTTCCCCAGGTATCTGTTCTTGTTACTCCCTAAATTTGAAAAGAGAGCTGTACTTAAAAAGTATCTATTTATTAAGAACAAAGAGTACTCTGGCCACCCCCCTCCCCCAAGTACCCATGAAGAACAAAAACGTCCAACATTTTAAAACCCATCAGAAGGACAACGGCACGTTACCTCGATCTCTTTGTGAGCTGAATGTTTCAGCATACTGACACTGTCTTGGTTCTCGCAGCACATCACCCGCTTCTCCAGAGCAAGCAGTCTGTCCATAACCGATTGTTCTGACAGGCTGAAAGGTGTGTGTGTGTGAGGGGGGGACGAGAAAGTAGGACGATGGTCAGATCAGAGGCTTTACGTTTATACTAGTCACATGTGTACGCCAGATGGCAAGAAAGCAGAGGACAGATGGTTGCTTCGTGCATAGACTACTCGAATTTTGGCAGAGATCAACAATACGCAAGTGAATCCAATTTTGGAAGACAGTGCTCAGTGGAGGGGGGGGGGGGGGGGGGGGGGGGGGGGGGGGGGGGGGGCAGTGTCACACCTGTGAAGGTGAGCCGATGGCAGGGTGGAGGCCTCCTGCTCCGTTTTCTTCTCGTCCCTTTGTTTCTTCTTCTCAGGTTCGGTGCCAGACTGCCCCGCCTCCCGCTCCTCATTGGCCCGTTTCACTGGAGACGAAGCAAGCAGGGGGGAAATTAACAGTTTAGTATGCGGGGCACAAGACGGCGCACAAACACTGTTTGTCTGGGAGGATGCCGCTGCCTGATCTCAGGCCGCACTGCAGTGCCTGAATTCATGCCAACTTGAAGATCGGCAACTCTGATACTGCTTTACAAACTGCTGGCAAGTGTGTGCTAGAGTACATTTCATCAGGATGAGGGGGAAAACAAAAAGTTAACAGTGGTAGCACCCATTGTGAATGTAAACTGTCACTGCAAAGATTTCATGAATTACAGCACAGCTGCCAACTGAGGTCAAATTTAAGACCTTTCTGAAGGCCACGATCAAACTTAAGAGGCAGGGACAATGTGACCACAGCAAAATAAACCCCCACCACAACCACATGACACGATTTGACCGCTCTTCCAATTCTGATTAGACTGCACTAAAAGGCCAAAGTATTCGATTGTTCTGCCTGCCACTCTACATCACTGTCATAGATAGAGGAACCAAGATTTTGTATTGGAGTATATGGGATTACTTTTCACAGACCACTTAAGTAAAGCCCAAAAAGAAAACGGTTTGCCATCACCTGGCAGCACAGCCACAGTTTCACGGGTGAAGGGTGCGTTGACGATGAGCTTGGATTTGGCGGCAAAGTTGAGCGCGCCGACGGTATCGAAGCAGTACTCGTACTCTGGGGCGATGTTGACGATCATGAGCGAGTGCGCCGAGCCGCCGAGAGAGTCCTGGAGCAGGCGCGTCAGTTTGCTGTCCCTGTAGGGCACGCGCACCGACGCGCCCGACTTGAGCGAGTCCACCACTTTGCTGAGGGTGAAGAGCGACAGGTTGATGGCGCCGCTTTCCTTGAGGCGGATGCCCTGGTTTCCCGTGCGTCGGTTGTCCTCCGAGCCAGCCAGGTCCACCAGGTAGAGTTTGCCCGTTTGTTGGCGGCGGGGGAGGCAGCGCTGAGTGCGCACCACCTTGACCCCCAACAACAACAACAAAAAAGTTGAGATTGGCCAGAAGTAAAAAGGAAAGGCAAGAAAAGGACAAAAGAGAATGAACGTCGAGGGAATAAAAGGATCGCAGACAGTTGCTTGTACCTCTCCGAAAAAAGTCCCAGAAAGCCCAGCAGTTGCTAGAGGGAGCGTCGCAAGAGAGGGTTGATTTTAGCACCAGCTACCAAATCCTGGCCTACTGCACAAAGGCCACGACCTGCTAAGATGCTCTTTCAAGGCTCTAGTCAAGGGGTGTCCAAACTTTTTCGTCCAAGGGCCGCATCAATAAAGTTCAAAGAAGTTTTTTTAGGGATCTGGAAATTTTTTTCTTCCCCTGCCTTGCCAATCTGCGTATAACACAGGTGGCACAATGCAGGCAAACTGCTTGGACAATGTCAATTCTACAAACTTGTACGACATGGCCCCTAGTCTTTAGTTTGGACACCATTTCTCGTTCAAGGCACCACCCCCCAAAAATTCAAAGCAAACTATGAGTGACCGAAAGACCAAGTGGCTGCGCTCAAACCTTTATGAGGAGGACCGCGTGGCTGCGGCTGGAGCGCTGGTTGAGTTTGGTCGAGGCTGTGGTACGATTGAGGTTGGCCGGCACAAAATGGCGTTCAAAATCAGAGAAGGAAGAGATCATCGTGTGCGTGAGGCCGGGTATGAGGATGTTTTTGTCTTTGTCCTCCCGGATGGGCAAGTCCTGGGAGCTCGGTGACAGAAGATCCAGTACCTGAACAGTGGAGACGGAGGATGCTGACATCAGCGTGACTGCAAAGAGCTCCTATGTCGCAATTCATCATTCACACACCTATTTTGGCACAAATTTGCAAAGGTTTTCACAAACGTTATTCCAATCCAAACACGTGGTTGTAAATCAGGGCACAATGTCCCGATTAAAAGGCCCGGGTGGATCGGGAATGAGTCACCCACAATAAAGGGAGGTTCACTGTGTTATAGAGGAATAAATCTGTGGAACACCACCCATACCTTCTCATTGTAAATTTCTAAATAAGACATTCCAATGGAGTAGTCCCAAGCCTCGTCCTCATCCTGAGCGTTGACCAGGTTGAAGACTTCCCCAACTGCACGAGGAATCACACCAGGTTGCGCCGAATTGCCCAGCATGGTGTGCGTCTTGCCTTCAGGGGAGGGATCAATAAATACATACGGTCGCTAGTCTTAACAGTAATTGTGTAAAGCAGCATACCAGCTCCTGTAGGCCCATAGGCAAAGACGCTAGCGTTCTGACCCCTGGTGATGTAGGGTAGAATGGGCTTTACCGATGACAAGAAGACCTCTTTTTGTGTTGTTTGCTCACCGTGGAACACGTCAAAGCTGAAACGACAAGTGATTCATTTTTCAGCACACATTTCAAGGAGACAAGAATACAATTGCACGCATTGTCAGTTCAGATCGGTAAAACCAATCCAAAGTAATCTGAAGTGGGATTTTATGCGAGTGTGAAGCTAGGACATAAAAATGTAGTTATTGGTTGAGGGCTCAGGAGCTCAGTCTGTAAGCACTGGTGGGCCACAGTTCAAGTCTCACTGCGGACAAATGTAAAAATGAGGTCTACTAACATGCCGGGATGTCAATTGATGTTCAATCAATTAAGATGGATACTTACTGGTATTTCAGTGTTTCTGTAGCATTCCTCCAGTTAACAATCTCCAGGTTCTGTGAGTCCAGGCCCCGCACACAAGGTCCCTCGCCTCGCTCGTCCTGTTTGTCCATAAAGGGTCGTAGTCGAACTGCAACCCTCACTCGGGATATTTTCTTGCGTCCGCGGCCTTTGACCGACACGCGCTGGGCCATGTTTGGTCTCCTGGACGACATGTGCCACGAGGACAAATAAGTCGGTATACCAATTGGCTGAAATAAGGCGCAATGAAAAAAAATGAATTAAAATGGAGCGGTGTATAAAATTTCATTTGACATATTTCTGAAAAGAGGCTTGAGTGACTAGTCTTAGCAGCTCACCGCTAATCCACAAGAGCCGCGAACTCCGCATTTTATAGAGTCATTTAAAAGCATATATCAAAATGTATCCATCACTTACCAATGTTGTGAACACAACACCGCAGAAATTATGCCTTTATTAATGTCTTAAATATCGCCCTAAACTCAAATTCAGCAACATTGTCTATGCGGCTCTTTAACAATGACTAGCAGGAACGCCTAACTAACGGAAATCTTTTCAAACGCGGGCCACGAAGGCGGAAACGTCTATCAGCCAATCACAACGCCGGCCAAAGAACCTCCACGACAGTTAGCCAATCAGAACTCGCTAAAAACGAGCCGCGATACAGCGCAACAGTCCTCTCGTAAAATATGCTCAATTGTATTAAAAATAATAGTAAATGTAAAATGTGTATTTTTCCAAATTTGAATAACTGAATTTCCTCCTGATAATTGGGCGAAATATACTCCCGCCAAGGTCGGCCATACCGGAAGTGGCACCGGACGTAGATTTCCAACTGCAAGGAGCACGATACTTGAAATGTGTGAGGGAGGGAGGGAGGGAGATACAAATATAAATATAATGTATGCACTAAATATTAATTTTGGGCCACGAAACAGATGCAACGTGCGCATGAAATGCTAATTTATAGTTCTAACATCATTTATATTGACAACTTCAACGTCTGGGATGCCAAAGAGAGCGCAATTTCGGTATCAACTGCCGCACAGAAAGCGTATACCACACTAGGGAAGGTGTGTTCGATTTAATTACACCACTCTCCAGGAATAAGACTCGTATTTAAATTGCATTTGGTGTGCACATTGTACCTATATCGTGGCCACAAAATTTGTTCGTAGTTGCGTCTGCACCTACGAACCAGCGCTACACTTTCGCCACAAGCGCTGCATAATCCACATGAGGTGGAAGTCGGCGCTGGTGAAAAACTCAGCAGGTTATTCTGTCCAAAATGGCGCCTTGTTTACGTATGAGCATTGTGTAGTCAGAATGGAGCATTTCGCTGATTTAATTCGTCGTCGAGGATAACTTCAGCAACGACGATCGGTAATGACAAGCCAGCGCGCTAACGTTGTGTGCAGCTTTCCATTCAAAACGTAGCATTTGCCTGGAAGTTGTTCAAATGAGGGTTTGTTTCGTTTTCTCTCAATGCAATTTGCTTATGTAGTCGAGCTACTCTCGTGTGCATCTTAAATGCGTGGCTTTCTTCCCAGTTTTTCCCTGTTGTGGTTCGCTGTTTTGTAGGAGCCTACTTCAAATGTTAATTCATCTGCTGACATCTCTTTCAGATGTAATTTTTTTTTTTTAATTCTGTCTCTTTACTCACTCCAGACTCAACATTTTGTAACATGAAGTTTCTTTTCTACTACTTTCTTGAGTGGGGCTCCTTTCAATCCATACACCATGGCCAAAACATCAAAAATGATGTTGAAAAGACCAGACACTTGATGGCTTACTTGGAAACGTGTTCCGAATGTATACAGTGCATTCAAGTTAAATACATAAAACAACAACTGCAAACACGTTTTTTTTGTTGTTGTTTTTTGCGCTTCTTCCTTAGACTTTACCTTACGGAAGGATGCAGGCTGAGGCCCCAGATGTGTCCTTACATGAGGGCATCCAGTCTCTTGATGTCAAAGAGGCAGAAAATAAAAAAGAAGTGAGCAAACAGGAGGAAGAAGGCACGGAGCAGCAGGATGCCGAGATGACCGCTGCACCGGTGGAGGACACTGCAACCACGGACGGCAAAGGTCAAGAAAGTGAGGCAAATTGTAACTGTAGTTCGCATGGCTTTTTGTATGAAGTTGTCATGAGAACAAACGTGTCAATGACACAACTGCAAACATTAAAAATGGATCAAAAGTACTGTTTTCTGAAGAAGTACACATACAGTGCTTGTTTGGAAAAAAAATAAAGGTAAAGGACATACTGATTTGACTCCCTCAGGAAAAAAGTACCATTGAAACTCTGAAACTTACTTTAATAATTACAGATCTTAAAACGATTTTGACCTACGCACACAATAACTTCCAACTTTTTCACAAGGCCAAGACATAGACGGGCTGGAGGGAGACAAACACACACCTCAGTCGGCGGTAGCCGTCGAGGACGAAGAGGGGACACGGGCCGCAGACAAGGACGGCGAATGGGAGCTTGTGTACAGCGACGAGGAAATGGAGGACCCCCAGAACTGGATGCCTCCTCCTGCCGAGATCAAGAGACTCTATGAGCTCCTGGCCAAGGGCGAGATGCTGCAGCTCAATTTTGAGCCCCTTCCCCGCAGGCCGCCCACGCCCGAACGCCCCCTGTCACCTGAAAGGGAGGAAGAGGAGGAGGCAGAGGAGAGAGAGAGGAAGGAGAGGGAGCGCAAGTCAGTCAGATGACAATCCTTTCAGGGTTATTTTTCAGGGATTTCATTTCGATTAAAATGTTGTTTTTCTTTCCCCACCAGGCCTCCAAGTCCAACTGAGTTTGACTTTAATGATGAGCAGCAATTGCAAGCCACCCCAAAGAATGCCTTCATTAACAGACGTCGAACGCCAGGTGAGCAGCCTGCCCAAATCTTCACCATCAGGCTTTATAAATGATGGAAAGCTGTTTATACTTATTTATTCCATAGCCACCTTACGGTAAGATAGAATGTCTGTACTAGTTATTTAGCCTTCTTGTGCAAACTTTTCACATGGACTTTCTCATTTGTGGAATTGTCAAAGAATACTTCAGATATATTTTTTCAAAGTCAAGTGGGGTTTTTTTTTCCCCCCAATTCTAGTTTCGGTTATACTTTGCTGGTTTTGGTTAAGCCTGAACCTGTTTGGCCGCCGCAGGGTCATCAGCTCGCTCGTCCGTGAAAAGGGAGGCCAGGCTCGACAAAGTGCTATCCGACATGAAGCGCCACCGCAAAATCGAGGAGCACATCATGCGCACGGGGCGAGATCTCTTCAAGAGCGAGAAGAAGCCGGAGGCGGCGCTCTCGCCCAACAGCCAGAAGGAGCGAGACAAAGAACGGGAGCGAGACAGCAACCCCAATACCATCTTCTCACCCAGGCAGAGGAGATACTGAACACTTGTGACGCAATAACATTTTCCAAGAGACCCCCATCCATCCCCACCTGTACATTTTCCAAGGCGCTTTTCTAAATTTTTTTTTTTTGTAACAAGCTTTGTATGTTTTCTATCGTTTTGTATAATGGGAATAAACATGCTAACACCTGGACTGACAACTTGTAGATGGGTGTGTTGTGCACGAACAAATGAACATTTGCAAAAACTGGAAGTTAATCCTGTTGGGGATGAATAAACAGAAAATGGTAAATATTGAAAGCAGTGTGGCGTTCTAACCATTTAAGCAAATGGAGGACTGACTTGTCAGCAAAAATACTCACAGCCATATATACTGTATATTCTTTCTCCTCCACGTGGCCCAGGTGCACACACGAGGAGCAGCAGAACATCCTCTGAATTGAAACAAAAAAAAATGTTGCAAACGCCTTTATTAGTTTACACTATTTAATCAGTCGATTTAAATTTTTTTTTTACTTTCCCTATTGAAGATCTACATTTTCCGAGAAAATTGTACATGCTGGAAATGTTTTTGTTTTTTTTAATATCACAAAAACTTGCATTTGAACAGGCGTGTCAACACCGTGAGCGTCATTTCAACTCACCAGTCGCATCCTGTCAATTTTTCTGAAGAATAAATAATTGCAGCCATCAAGAATCACGTGAGACACCGTCAGGACAGAGAAGTATATTTCAGATAAGTTGGAGTAACATTACAGCCTTCACATAAGGCTCAGAAGCATCGAGTATAATATGGATGCATAAATATGCATTCAGAACCACAAACCCAATAAATAAATAAATAAATAGATAGATACAAATAAATAACAAGCATTTGGTGGAATATACAGTACGTTCGGGTCGGGCGGGCTGGCGGCGGGGTCGATGGTTGCTCTGAGTAGGACATGCCTGGTAAGTAGTCCAGATGTTTTGGCACACGCTTCTGTCTTCAATTTTCTTTTTTAATATATATTTGTATATTTTTTGACCCACTTCCAGAAGAGTGCAGCTGCAGCTTGAAAACAAACGTATTATGCGGGGCGGGGGGAAGCAAGGCGGTCTGTTTAACAAAGGTTCACAGAACCTGTGGCGCAATTTGCACAATGTGAAAGGTCTAAAAAAAAATTATAAATAAAATACTGACCGCAAGAAATGTTTTTTTTTTCTGTTTAACACCGGGCTTTCTTTGCTTTTGGCTCATAGTCTGCATGTAAATTCCAAGGGGAATTCCCACAATACTGTTTTCCCTTCAAACTGCAACACTGTAATTCCCTTTATCATGCCCTTAACAACACTACCAAAAAAAAAAAAAATAAAGTCCAACATAATTCGTTTTTCGTGACCCAACAAAAACATCCATCCTTTCAAAGTGTGCATGAGCCTCCCTAACGTTGCATTAGCGGGACATGGAATGAAGTCGTATCTACACTTAGCTGCGCATCGGGGGGGGGGGGTCCCATCATGAAAACCAACCGAGGGGAGGGGGCAGCGATAAACACTGAAAGA